ACACACACACACACACACACACACATATATTATTTTATATAATTTTTCCCCTCAAAATGTTCACACTTTTTGACCCTGTAGAGGGGCATGTTGTCACAATATATGGGGTAAGTTTGCATACACACACACAGATATATATATGTAATATTGTTAAAGTATGTCCTTGTCCAAAAAAATTACACTGAATAAAATTTACTGGAGTAGTAATAAATAAATAAATACATAAATAAAATACAATAAAATAGGCCCCAATCTCCTCTATGTGTAACCTAATATGTGACACTACAATCTTAGTATTACATAACTTTATGGTCATACCTAATAAAAATTAATTTGACATAAAGAAAAGTGAAGTGAAATCGTGCGTAACGCACAATGTGTCACAAAGCATAGCCAATAATCCTCATGTATGAAATCATGCATGAAGCATGATATAAAAATGTGTACGCCAGCGGGACAAAACTGTCAAAGGCACGTTCCAGATCGACTCGTGTATACCCAACAACAACAACAACAACAACAACAACAACAAACACATGAGCACGTACGCCTTGGCATCTGATTCGCTCTCGTCACAGTGATGCAGGAGCTCAAACATGGATGCGCCTCATTAACACTTCACAGCGCGAATCGTTGCAGGTGCATCTTCGCATTATCTCGCTACTTAAAATGGGCTCACAATAAAATGTGCTGTACACAACCATACCCATATATAACGACGTTTCCTTCAACTGTCACAACTCCAGCATTCACTGTCTGTGGTGTTTGTCTCCTCACTCTGCCCCACACAGCTGCACCTGCGACAGCCCACCGGCTCTGTTCCAACACAACTGTCCAACATGAATGCATATTAAGTTGAAGACAATGTAACAGGACTATATATGCCCAGACTAGAGAATGCGACATGTTATCTGACTGTGCCCCCCGTGCAAACGGACATTGCTGCGTACCGGCGTCACTGAGAAAGTGTGTCGTCTGCGCTGAACATGCAGAGGATGAAAGTGATGGTTGAGAAGCGCTCACTCAGCTCAGGTCCTCAGCATCCACTCCCAAAACTATAGAAACCTGTCTCGAAGCATCCGGTACAGAGTAGGTTCAGGGCATCCCACACTCACCGTCCGCCCTGCGACATATTTTTTGGTTTTGACCCGTTGATGTCATTTCCTGAACGAGTACCACATAGCTTACCTTGAGTCGTTTCAAAACCACTAATTGGGCGCAAGTTTTCAGCTCGCTTGACCGCACTGGTCTATAGGGTCACGCGAGCGGTTATTACAAAGAAATTCGTAAACAAATCAGTCGGGTTTACTGTTCTGAAAAATTTAAAGTGATATTCAACATCCTGCTTCGCACGTCCGCCGACTGTGGCGCATTTACTTTTATATAATCACAGAATAATTCAATCGCACACCTTTATGGAGTCAAATGCGTTTATAGGAGATGTGTTATGCAAGTGACTTTTATGAAACTTCGCTAAAGGCCTTTCTTAAATGTTCTTCTAGGAAGTTTGTTGACAAAAACATGATGGATTTTTAATCTGTAGCCTACAAAAATCCAATGAATATGTTGGTCTTTGGTTCATTCATTAATTCATTCATTCATTTATTTATTTAATTTATTTATTTAATTTATTTTTATTTGCGCTGAGCTTTAAACTTTGATGTTTTATTGCCATAGTTGTCTGCTACAAATTAAAGTAGTTGTGTAAATTAACGTCAATTACACAGAGGGTTGTTAAACATTAATGTTTGTTCAAAATCATTAGTATGCTTCCCCCATTTCATTTCAAACATTTAATTAATTAAAATGGTAAACATATAAGAAATATTTGAATGAAAATAAAAATAATTGACTTAATTGAATGAAAACACCCATTAATTACAGACTGTGTGTGTGTGTGTGTGCATGTTTATGTGGTTTATGAGGACACAAATTTGTATAATAACATGGGTATGACATAGGTATTACAACGAGAAGGTGATTTATGAGGACATTTTCAGTGTCCCCCGTAATTCAAAAGGCTTATAAATCACACAGAATTAGTTTTTTTGAAAATCTAAAAATGCAGAAAGTTTCCTGTGAGGGGTAGGGTTGGTGTAGGGCAATAAAAAATACGGGTTGTACAGTATAAAAACCATTACGCCTATGGAGAGTCCCCATAAACCATAAAAACAAACCTGTGTGTGTGTGTGTGTGTATAAAAAAACTTTTTATCTTAGTATTGCTTTTTGTTCTTTAAATGTTTCTACAAAGACTTTTATACTGTCAACTTCTACTGTATTGTTAGGTGGCAGGTGGCATGATGATTTGGTTAAACTGATGGAGGGAGTTGCAACTTCCCGATCTCCTCTATATACATTTAGTGTTGATCAGTTGCCATTATAGCCATAGTATTTGAACAGACTACAGTGTTTCTTTGCAAAATTATTAAGGTCATGTGTTGATCAGGCATTTTGATTTTGCTTGAGTGTTTGGAGTTGACATTGGCCTTGCCTATCTTCTTGCCTATACTTCTCCTGAGTTACGAAAAGAAATACTAAGGATTTGCAATCCCTGACTAATGCCCCCTCCACTGCTGGATGAGTGAAAGAGGGGCCTGTTTTTTTTTCTTTTCTTTAAGGTGAAAGGATTCTAAGAGTTTAAAACTGGACCCCTGCAAGGCGCTCTCTTCTTGTCTTTTTACCTCTTAACCTGTAGACTCAGCAGCCGATATCTGATCAATGGGGCTGCTCTCCTTGAGCCAACATGTCATGATAGATGGTCACTGGATTGCACATACAGCCCAATATTTCAATTTCCTGCCTAGGCAGAGGCGTTTCAGAGTTTGAATAGAGTTCATAGGCACAGTGTGTTTCCTGCCACTGCCCCCGACACCCGCAGTGAAGACCCCCAGACCCAAACATAGCACCGAGCACATTCCAAGGGCTCAGCAAAAGCAACCTGGCTCTCAATGGTAATGGAGTGGTCTGCTGCTACACCAATACTGTTCAAAGAAACCTGCACTATCAGTCAAAAGTGTTGGAAATTTACTTACATATTTTTTATTATTTCTATTTTCCACAATTTTAATAGTAGTAAAGTTATCAAAACTACGAAACGGCAAATGATTCTATATCTTATTTTAATTCAAATTTTAATTCAAAGTCACTTTACTTTTTTCTACATTGTCTCAGCTTACTTTTAAATAAATTATTTGTTTATTAATATATATATAGTTCACATGCTTAAACTTGTGGGCTCCTTTTCCTTCACTATCTGGTTAAACTTTTCATTTAAAAGAAAAAAAAGAAAATAAATGAAAGAAAAAAATATTTATATATTTTAGTTTTATATTTATATTTTTCTAGCAAAGTTATTTAAAACATTTAAGCTTAAACCTTTAGATTAAAGAGTTTTTAAGATCATAAGAAAATACCTGTCATATGTGTCCAAACCTTGTTCTGAACATTGGTAGTGTATGTTTACGGAGTATAAAAAAAAAAAAAAAGCACAGACACCTGCCATTTTATCCTATTTGGGATGTTATTATTTAGCATTTTTTGATTATTGTTATTTATTATTATTTTGATTTTAGGATTTTGCCTCAAAATATGCCACATCATCTAAATCAGTTTATTTTCTTTTTAGCTGGATTCACTCGGTTGAGTAATTTTTTAAAGTTGTTTATAGTTTAAAAGTCACTCAGAATATTCGATAATAAACCAAATACAATTCTAATGTGACATGGTATTTTTTATGATTATAAAACAATTTTATGCTCATATAAAGCATATTTATACTTATTTACCATAACATCTATATTTGATATTTTAAGTCACCGTTTATGATTATGCACCTTTCTATTTGATCATTAATCTATAGGATTAAGGTAACAGAGTATTTGATCACACAATTTACATTAAAGTGACAATGCAGTAAGCAGTCTGGCAGTAGTGCAACCATGCTAACTCAACAAAAGCTGCAAAAGATCAAAGGACGCTCTTACGTGTGAGTGAGAGAGTGACATATTAGGCAACAAAGTTGAAAGAGAATCCCCTGCACAAAAGAAAGATACGCAGCATTGCTTTTCAAGGAAGCAATGCTTCACATTGGAATCTTTTCCCTTCAGTATAGCGCTCTCTCCCAAAGCACATATGGCAAACATTCAGAGAGAGAGAGAGAGAGAAAGAGCAAAGGGAAAGACAAAAATACATGCAAGAATGAAGACACAGCTCACACTGTGATATGTGTCTCATTTTGACATTGTTATCTGGGTCAGTTATATTTATGAGTATCATGGTGTTTTAGGGAAACGTGATTATGCATGTTCATTTTAGGTGACAAAGGGAAGCTGATATCCAGTTTCTGAGTGCATGGAGGGGGGAGTATGCATGTTTGCATGAAGAGAAATACTGTGCATGCTACAAAGTGATGTGTGTGACTGCACATGTTCTATCCCTCTACCTATGGATTTGTAATGGAGCACTGTGATTGGATGTGGCTTATAGCAAGCAGTGCACTCTAGTGGCATGAAAGGACAAAAACACAAACACACAGTCAGAAAGCTTATCCTGTGTGCATTATCACTGTAAAACATCAATAAATGAAAGTTGTAGACTTAAGATTGTGCATGTACAATTGAGGTACAATGTCTTAATCCCATCTATAATTGCAATCGCTCGACACATTCACACAATGACTTGCTGCAGGCTACTGCACATTCATTTCATTATTCCAGCATTGATATGGTGTATAATTGTGCTGTAATCTCATGTCTAAAAATATCATGAATCCTCATGCGACCCTCATATTTGGGACATTATGCCTCTGTGATCAAAACAGAGGGTTTCTGAGCCCTCTAACCTTCAGATAACCCCGCCCCCATCCCCTCATCCAAACCAAATGGCACTAACAGCGACTTCAAAGTCAATAGGCTTCCGGCTATCAGTTCAGCTTCAACAACAACACAAAAAAGGGTAGAAAGCTGTATGGGTAGATGCTTTATATTGGTACTATTTAAAAAAATAAAGGTTCTTTATTGGTATTGATGGTTCCATGAAGAACATTTAACATCCGCAAAACTTTTCTATTGCACCATAGATTCTTCAGATCATTAAAATATTCTTCACACACTCTTAAATATAAAGGAGGTTTCTTTGCGATGCCATAGAAGAACTATTTTGGGATCCCCAAAGAACATTTCAGTAAACAGTTCCTAAAAGAAAATTTTTTATGAAGAACCTTTTATGCATTTTATGCAAAGTTTCAGTAAAGAACCTTTATTTGGTCCTTTTAAGAAACTCATCACTGAAATGTTTTTGGAGAACCCAAAGTAGTTCTTCTATGGCATCATCACTGCATAAACCCTCTTTTGAAACTTTTATTTTTATGAGTGTAGCCCCTCCTCTGCCAAAACAGCCAGCAGTCTCCCAAACAATCTGTACCTGTGCCCATCAAAAGCTACTTAAATACCACTAGATGAGTGCCAGATTGAAGGATAAGGGGGTGGAATGAGTGCGAGGGGATAAGGATGGGTTTTAGCTGGACGATGAGGGTTGTGAAAAGAAGGGGGATTGTTCAGACTGCAGCGAGCCAGACCCCCTAAAGCAGGGTTTAGCCGAGGCCTACAGGCCCAGGCAGACTCCTTTTAGCTCGTGAAATAGATTAATAATGAATTAAGGCATAAACCCTCCCCCCACCCCAACATACACATCCCCAAAAAGACATTCACGCATGCTAATGCATTCATTATTTATAATGTGTGTGCATGACTGGGGCAGGATGGCCACATCTGAGCCTGTGAGTGACAGAGAGTGCGAAAGAGAGAGATGAAGGGAGCATGATCACCCCCGGATGGGGCTCCAAGGCTGGCGAGGAGACATCCGCCCATTGTGCAGCATCTCTAGGCTTCCCTGGGTTGGGTTTGGGGGGGCAGGGATGAAGTGGGCAGCTGAGTTGTCAGGGGGAGGGGTGGATTAAACAAATAAATACATGATAAGAAATTATCATGCTGGGGTAGAAGTGGCTAAATGGAGATAAAGAGGCTAAAGGAACAAGCAGGGGGTCAGAGAGGGTTAGACTGACCTAGATTTACTGTCTGGACTACAGACCTGGTCATGGCATGTTGGTTTTTTATATAATTGAAGATCACATTTGCTAATTGTTACATTTTATTCAAGTGTACATGTTAAAAAAAAACATAAGTGTGATATAAAAAGTTTGTTGATGTCTGTAGAGAGAACATAAAGGAGACTGGCAGCACTTAGCAACTATGCTCCCATGCAGAGTATGATAAGGTGATAAGATAAAAGCAGAGCCCAGACTTCCACGCAGCCTTTTGCCATCAATATTCGCATAGATATGGAGAGATCA